ATTCCCCCAGCTTTAGTTTAAAACTAAAGTGTCAAGGCAGTACACTGTATGTCAAATGAATAACCAGACCCTCACTGTCCAGTGACCACTAACCACATGTGACTATTGAGTATCTGAACTGTGGCTAGTTCAATTTCAAGACTTAGTACTAAAAAAAATATAAAATATCTCATTTAATGTTTTTATATTGGTTACACATTGAAATGATAATTTTTTTCACGTTTTGGAGTAAATAAAATATATTATTTAAATTAATTTTTTCTATTTCCTTTTACTTTCTAAATGCGGCTACTAGAATATTTAAAGTTATGTATGTGTCGTACCCGCCTGGCTAGCTCAGCCGATAGAGCATGAGACTCTTAAAATCACGTATGTGGCTGGCATTATATTTCTTCTGGATCAAGCTAGCAAGACAGTGCGTTTATAAAGTTAGGAGAAGAAGAAATCACTATGTATTGAAGAAGTCTTCATGAAGATTGGAAGATTTAAAGGAAGGAAAGGATTGAGAAAAGGAGAGGAAAATGTATTCTATGCTAGAAGAACAATATTATATAAAAAGCATAGGGACCTCTGAGGTTCATTAGATGAGGGGATTTTCTGAAAGAAATTAATCTTCCTCATGTGATATTAGAAAGTATTTAGGGCAGAACAAGTCATAATCCTGAAGACACACCTGACCCCACACATCTACAGAGCCAGCAGAAATCAGGAGACTATATTTTACAATAAGGCAGAAAGTTGTAAAATTTGCAAGACACAAAACAGAACTTGGCTGGTTTTGTTCACTGCTCTATCGCCAATACCTGTAAGAGTGGCAGGCACGTGACAGACACCTAGAATAAACGTTTGTTGCGTGAATGAGTAAAAGGGCAAATGAACTGCTGTAGAAAGGGGTGGTGCTTTCCAGGAAACGCTAAGGCAGGAACACTGGGAGGAAGTGGCAGTAAAGAGGGTGAGAGTGTCAAGGAAGGAGAGAGTATCCAGGTTAGCACCTGCCAACGCCTTAATTGGCTTACTTATTATGTGGTTCAAGGAAATGAAGCACAAAGGTCGCAGCACAAAACCAGTTCCTCTATAACTCTGCATAATTTTGGATCTGTCACCTGAAGACGAAGTAAAGAATGAAATAAACCTCCCTCAGCATCCACATTGTGATTTAACTCTGAGGAAAAGCAGCCCAGGTTGTTTCCACACGGGGAGGGACAGCCCTCCTCTTTTAGCGTCACACGCAGGCAGCAGGAGCACCCTCCCCATACACTGCTATGTAGTCTTCCTCACAGAGGAAAAGGAAGAGAATTTTTTCTTTCCCTGTTTTCTTTCTTGTGGTTGTTGTTTTGGGGGCAGGTGGGTCCTTCCTTCCTTCCTTCCTCCTTCCCTCCCTCCCTTCCCTCCCTCTATGGAATCTTTCTAGCCGGCTCCTGCCTTCTCTGCTGTCTCTTTCTAAAATATCTATAAATACAATACCCTGACACAGAGGAAAAAGACAGAGGCCTGACAGTCTGATATGGAACTCGGCAGGTGAAAAGAGTGAGTGTGTCTGTGTGTGCACCCAAAGAGGAAAAGAGCCTAAAACAGTGGTTATCCCTGGTGGTACTATTCTTCTTCATTGTACATATTCTCTAATGTTTTTCTACTATCAGATATTACTTCTGTAGTAAAGGAAGACAATAAAACAACACCCACAGAGTCCTGAGGAGAAAACTGTGACCCACAAATTTTCTACACAGCTAAGTAGTAATTCACACGGGAGGGCAAAAGGAAGAGAGTTTAGTCATGTTTTATGTAATTTGAATTATGTCTATTTAATATAGTATGATATAAAAAGTTTTAAATAATGTCCATTTCTAGGGTTTTAAAAAAAAAAAATTGAGAATCCCCATTTAAGAAGTTGTCTTACACCAAAGCTACATGACAACGTAACTTTAGCTGGTAAACAGAAATATCCACTACTGTTTGCCTATATTTTTTGAACCATGCTGTTGTGTCCGTGTTCTTTCTGTAAGTGATTTTCATGATTAATGTGTATTTTAACATTTACGGTTATTATCATTTAAAAGATTTGTATATCTTATAACAATATCATCCAATTCCTATCTTTCATTAAGTGGGTGTGTTTATGTTCATGCTGAAAAATAGCTGAAAGTAAGTTAAATGTGGTATGTCAATTTAGGAAAGAACACTGTAAAATATTAGGAATAATAACAGCAGTTAATACTTTTTGAATATTTCTAAATGGTTTACATGCATTATCTCTACAACAGCCCTATGGAAAAGGTACTTTTACTATCCCAGTCTATAGATGAGAAAACTAACGCTCAAAAAGTTGAGGTAACTTGCTCAGAACCACACAGTTAGTAAATAATAGAGCATGGATTTGAACACAGGCTGACTCCAAAGCCTTCTCTGTTAACAACCATGTTCTACTGCATTTCTTTCTTTCTTTCTTTCTTTTTGGGAGGAGACAGAGTCTAACTCTATCACCCCGGCTACAGTGCAGTGTTGTCATCATAGCTCACTGCAACCTCAAACTGGGCTCAAGCGATCCTCCTGCCTCAGCCTCCCAAGTAGCTGGGACTACAGGCACACGCCACCATGCCCAGCTAATTTTTCTATTCTTTGTAGAGACCAGGTCTCACTCTTACTCAGGCTGGTCTTGAACTCCTGAACTCAAGCGATCCTCCCACCTCAGCCTCCCAGAGTTCTAGGATTACAGGTGTAAGCCACCGCACCTGGCCTCTACTGCATTTCTAATGCTGAGAAAATGTAAAGCAACATTAAAGAAAAAAAAATGGATAAGGATTTATGAGCTCCAAGAACATATTCTCTTTACCCGTATTTGTATGGGAAAATTAGTCTTGAATTACATGTTAAATGAACGAACAAATGAATGAAGAAAGAATAGTCCAGCTACTTAGAAATTAATTAAAATACAACAGTACCCCCTTATCCTTGGAGGATCCGTTCCAAGACCCCCAGTGGATGCCTGAAACCATGGATAGTAATGAATCCTATATATACCATGATTTTTCCTATACATACATACCTATGATAAAGTTTAATTTATAAACGTTATACAGTAAGATTAACAATAACTAATAATAAAATAGAACAATCATAATACTATACTGTATTCGGTGAAAGCCAGTGAATGTAGTCTCTCTCATTGTACTGCACTCGCCCTTCTTCTCGTGATACTGTGAGATGATCGAATGCCTACACGATGAAATGAAGACATGATGGAGCCGGATGGCGCGAGATTTCATCACGCTATGCACAAGAGCACGCAATTGAAAACTTATGAACTGTTTATTTCTGGAATTTCTCACTTCATATTTTCAGAACGCAACTGACCGCAGGTAACTGAAACTGGAAAAGCAAAACTGTGGTCAAGGGGGGACTACTGCAAAGACTTTCAGAGGTTTTAAAGACTGGTAGTAGTTTTGTTAAAGGAATTTAAATGTAGGATTGTGTCTAGATAAATATATGACTTCAAGATAAAATGCAAATGATAATTACAATGTAAAAAATCTGAAAACAATAAACTATAAAATCTCAGATTATACCAATAAAACTAGGCAACAGGAGAAAATGAAAGAAAGTTACAGTTATTTTCTTATCTTACAAAGAAAGGAGCTGGAATATATTTATGGTTGATGTAAATAATTAGGAAAATTCAGGTAAAATATTTTTTAAAAAACTTTAAGGATTAATATCAAAATGGTAAACAATGCATTCCTTTCAAATCACATAAGAAAAAAGTTAAAGAAAATATATTTAAAGTTAGAAATATATCAAAGAAAAAGCAAGGAACCATTAAAATATTCCAGATTACCAGTTACACAGTAAATATATTTTATTAAACTTACTCACCAGAAAGTCTCTTGAATATGATTTTCTTAAACGTCCACAAGTGACACATTTAAAATAAAGATTTAGAAAACTTAAGAGGAAAAGGTAAAGACAAAAAAACAAAACAGGGATTACATCAAAGTAGAATCTAAGAAGTATAAACATCACATGAGGAAAGAGTATCTTTTTTTCTTACAACCCATAACACAACTCATACAACTTTATGAAATAAATAACAGTGCTAAAATATACAGAGTAAAAATTGTTAAAAATGCAAAAAGAAATAGATATAAATACTGAGGTATAGGGAGACTTTAGACATGCAATTATAGACAAAAATATAAAGTTAAATAAAGGTTGTCTGGTGTCAAATAACATAGGCCTTAATCTATGATAAGAGTTTAGACTTAAAAGCAAAAGTTAGATCATTAAAACTTTTTTTAAAGAATATTCTTTTGGGCCGGGCTCGGTGGCTCACACCTGTAATCCTAACACTCTGGGAGGCCGAGGCGGGCAGATTGTTTGAGCTCAGGAGTTCGAAACCAGCCTGAGCAAGAGCGAGACCCTGTCTCTACTAAAAAT